GGGTCCCTATGGATGGGACCCCTGCCTACAGGTGGCAGTGCAGGCCTGGGCAGCAGCCACGAGGGTGGGGACGCCCCTGTCCCTGAGCCTTCTTCTTCCACATCCAGGTCCTGGGAGTGCTCACAGTGGGACTTTGGACTGCCTGGTGTTCACTTTTGATATTCTTCAGGCCTAGGGTAGCCAGATAAAGTACAAGGGTAGCCAGTGAAAGTGAATTTCAGATAAACTGGCAACTTTCTCCAACCCAATGGTGAGTTTTTAAGTGGAGAAAATTGCATTCCTTTGTTCTGCAAATGTTTATTGATTGTTAATTATATGGCAGACACAATCCTAGGGCTGGGGATATATCAGTGAAAAGATAAACAAGGTCTTTGCCCTCATGGAGCTTATGTTATGGTGTGTGTTTTGGGGGATGAGATGGGAAAGACAAATAACAAATGTATATTAATCCAATGATTTCAGTGATGTGAGGAAAATAAGACAGAGATGTAATTGAGGGTGATTCTGGTGGATGGTGACTAATTTACTTGGAGTGGCTGGGGAAAGCCTCTTTGAGTTGAGATTTGTGAAAAATCGGGACAAGAGTTTCAGGCAGCTATAAAAGTGAGGCTAGAGGGCCAGAAGGAAGGGCCACTGCAGGCGAAGGCAATGAGACAGGGAGGAAGAGGACATATGGGCAGGCTGGACAGGATGCAGGGATCAGACCATTTGCAGGATGATAAAGGCCCAGGAAAGAAGGTCCAGCTGACATCATCTGATTTACGTTTTGTAAAGACCTGGAAAAGAGGTTGTCCAAAGATAGGAGCAGAAGCAAGGGGACCGGTCAGGGAGTTCTTGCAGTGGTCCTGACCAGTGATGATGTTGTTTGAAAGATGGAAGAAATGAAAGGACTGGAGATCTATTTCACAGTAGAAGTGATAGGACTTACTGACGAAATGGGGAAAAGAGAAACAAAGGCATTTTTTGAAATACTTTTAGAAATACTCTTAGGTTTGGAGGAGTGAGTTAGTCGATCTTCTACTTTTCAAGGCAGTGCCTCCCAACTGCTGTCATGTCCCGACTTATGCAGAAAACAGTATTTGTATGGCACGTGGCTGGGAGGGCTGGCCACTGGGGCTCTAGCCCCCAGGCCCCACCTGCCATACTGAGTGCTGTCTCTACAAGCTTGTAGTCCATTCACGGCAGTTCACCCATGGGAACCTCTGCTTTGGGGGAGAATCTTCTAGCCGGAGCCAAGGGGGAGCTGCAAAAGGCCTGAGGAGAACTGAAGTGCAGTGAGCACTCTCAGGATCAGGGCACTCCTCAAGCGGCAGAAATAAAAGATTTCTAGAATTCAGGGCTGGGACAGATTTTTTAATCTATCTTGTCCAACTCTCTTTTTTCCCTCCTTCTTTACACAGAGGAGTAAGGGACTAGTCTCAGGTACTTTCATGTATTGCATTTATTGAGTACTACAAGTGCGTGCAGCTGTTCTAGTGCCGTGTGACACCGTTACTTCGAGTGTGACCACAGACTGGTATCCCGCTCTGTGACCCGAGGATACAGAAATGGAGGTTGGCCACTTTTATAGCAACTTGATATCTAAGCATGTGATTGTTGGGCTTACAGTTTCTATTTGTCTTTTTTTTTTTTTTAAGTAATTTACTTTTATTGTGTTTTACCAAAGAACTAGTTCAAGATGGATTGAGGACCAAAATAACAATAACAACGTTTCCTTGGCTAGTAGCATTTGCTTCAGACGGTCAGAGCTAATTCAGTCATGTGACTGTCAGGGCTGCCTATTTCCTCTCATTTCCCTCCCATCTCTGTCCCATCAAAAGCCCTAAAATAGTCTCAGAGATTTCAGGACTCTGGTTTTATTCTATATCCTCTGCTCTGATATGAAAAGAAGATGATTTGTATTATGGGCTTTAGCCTTTTGTTTTTCTCTAAGTACGTTCATTTGCTGCCATTCCTCTTGGTCTGTTACTCCATTTTCCTTTCTCTGACTTTTAATGGGTTGGCCTCTTTCAGACTTGACTTGCCAGTTATTCTCTGCCTTAGACTTTCACCTCTGTGTCTTCCTCCTGCCTCTGCCCATTGAGTTCCCTGTGCTGGGCCTGTGCTGGACCCAGTGGCTAAGGAGTGCAGGACTTCATTATTTCTTCATTTCTTCTCTTCACAGACAAGGGCATGCTGTGTCACAAAGTGACCCAGAGTTCCTCAGACCAGACAGTGGCAAGTGGCAGTGAGGTGATGCTGCTCTGCACTTATCACACTGAATTCTCAAATTCACATTTATACTGGTACTGAAGAAGTCCAGATCATTCCTTCCAGTTTATCCTTTACAGGGAGAGCAGGTGGGTCCTTAAAGTGGCTTTTACTCGGGGTTGGTTTTCTGTGTAGCACAGGAAGACCGACAAAATTTTCTACTTGGTGATCTCCTCAGTGATGATCGAAGACAGAGACACTTACTACTGTGCCATGTGTGCCCATGGTGATGCAGGTGGCCAGAAAGTCTGCACATAAACTGGGCACAGCCTGACAGAGCTACCTTTACGGACGGTTCACGTCATTGGATGTGGCATCCTTCTTCCTGGGTACTTGTGTTCCAGCCTGGCCTTTAGAGGTATCTTAACATGGCTGCTGAATAATAAAATGCCTGTCACATCCAGGGGAACACCTGGTTTCGTATGGAGCACAGCATCTTCCCACTTTCGACTTGGTGTCCTCTTGTTATCTGAGTGCCTGTGATAGGGAAAGGAGAGCTACATGTCTGAGGGATTATCATCTTTGTGTCCTCAGCACCCAGGTTGCACCTGGTACAGAGTGGGGCTTGGCAAGAATGTGCTGCGTGTGCTGTTTGGGTGCAGGTGAAAGGCCAGTTTAAGGAGAACCCACCAGAAGTGTCTTTATTTTAGTCTATGTCATTAATCCATTATTGTGAATTGCTCTATTTTCTTTTTAAGAATCAAATTAGACACAAAGTTATTTATTTAAAAAGTTTCCCCCCAATTTACCATTTTTTCTTCTGTCTTCTTGTGCAGCCACCTTATTTCTCCTGGATGCCCTTTGACATCCTCATTTTACTTTATTTGGAAAACATTTTTATTTCACTGAAGAGCATTGAGATATTCCTGGAAAGCTGTCTGCGAATCCCAGAATCCCAGCTTCAAAGTCCCTGAGTTTGGAGCTCAGTGGTATCTCCAGGGGAGAGAGTTATCTCTAGGGGAAACCAACTAAGTTATGTCGAAATAGATGCACCCTCAGCCTGGGAATTGGTCCCTCTTTCCTCTCCTTCCATTGAATTCTCTGCTATAAGACAACTATTAGAGTTATTAAAGGTAATCTTAGAAATAGTAGAAGCCTCAGACATTATTTTATAGGAAATATGCTGAAGCCCAGGGAGGCGAGGGATGTCCCCAAGCTCAGATAGCTGGTTAATGACAGAGCCAGGGGTGCTGTGCTGGCCTCTTCTAGGGCCCTGTCTTGCAGCTGATTTATCAGTAGGTGATTTGGACAGCAGTTTTTCTGAGCTTCAAGCAAATGAACAAACAAGGAAAACTCACGGACACAGGCAGCAGTATGATAGTTAACAGAGAAACTGGGTAGAGAGGAGATAGGAAATGGTAGAGGGGATCAAATATATAGTGACGGAAGGAGATCTGATTTTAGGTGTTGAATACCCAATGCAGTATACAGATGATGTGTTATAGAATTGCACACTTGAAATCTATATAATTGTATTAACCAATGTCACCCCAATAAATTTAATAAAATTAAAAAACCCAAACAAAAAAACAAACAAGTGAACAAACAAACGAAAAAACAGGCTGGCAAAGAGCAGTCACTATAGAGAGGAACGGAAGGAACATGGGGTGAGGTTGCTAAAGGCCTTGGACAAATGACCCAGCCTCTGAGGCTTCTGCTCTGCCTCCTACTGAGCGTGCAGCAGTCTTTCAGAAACTCCCGTGGGGCTGTTGTGGGACTTAAATGAGATGTTGCAGGAGAAAGCTCTGAGAAACTACAATCCACGATACGATGGCCCCTAGACCTGAAGGCAGCCACATTTCCCTCGGGCTCCTGCTTTCAATCTTTTCTGGAGGCTCCTTTTAGTGGAAGAAATCTATGGTCCTGTGATATGCTAGGATTTCTTTTTCTGATGATCAAAGTGAGCCAGAGGGTGGCTCCTTCATATGCTTATATTTAGACAATCCTATATTTAGACAATCTCATATAGCTGAACTTCAAATCAACACTTTGTCCTTGTTTTGGGGATGCAGCGTGCTCTTGTAGAGGAACTTTGGGTGGCACTCTTATTTGGTTCTGCTCCCAGCAATATCCTTGCCTCACTGAATGACTTCGGACAAGGTACATGCCTTTTTTGGGGGTTTGGGGGTGGTGGCATATTTTTTTTCCATCTGAAAAATGAGGATGTAATTATTTTTTGTTCTCATGTGACCCAAGGTAACAGATGCGAATGTTTTGGAAACAGACATTCATTATGTACATAAGGAGAAGTCGTGTGGAATCTTTTCATAGTTTTACTTGGATGGACCTGGCTTATCCATCTAGATTGTCCTACATCCATTGACTCAGAGTGCTACTGCCGCCTGTGAGGACACGATGTAGGAGTTTGCAGGTGGCAATGGCAAGGGAGTTGTTGGTGAAGGGTGCTCCTTCACTCATAAGCTCACTCGACACCCCATGTAGGCACTGAGGAAACCACAATACTGGGTTGCTAGGGCTCTGCTACCTGAGTGGGTACTCCTGGAAACAGCTGTGGCCTTGCTGGGATGGGGGTATCAGAGCCCATGGACCACACTGGGGGCTCTGCTGTTGTTATTCCCGTAACAGGAATTCCAATAGCAGGAAACCTGGTGCTGGGTCCCTGAAGCAGGAGGTTCAAAGCTCAGGAAGCTGCGGTGTGACCTATAAGCTCAGCTTGGCTTTTGTCTGGCAAACAGTGAGTTCATGGCACCCACTTTTCCCCTGCGGTAGTCACAATGAGGAAAGCCGGAGGCAAGGCACACACAATGTGCTTTAATAAATGTTAACAGAGATAGCGTCAGAAAAGAATGGCAGAAAACCATCAACACTAACCCAGGTGAGAGTCAGTGTCCGGTGACCTCCAACTCCCTGCGTACAGATTGGTAGGCAAGAGATAGTAAAAATGCCGTTTTTACAGGAAAATCTAGGGATCTCATTTCTATCCCTCTCTCCAAAAACACTTGGATGGTGTCTGGAACTTGGAGTCAATTCATGTTTGTTAAATCAATTAATAGAAAGAAGTACATTTCCTCTGTATTTTACTCTGATCTCTACTAATAGCTTCAAAGATATTTAGATAAGATTTTAGAAACCCCATTGCCTACATGAAGAGTGTTGGAAAGTAGTGGGAGGGCAGAAAGTACTTTTGTGAATGAGACGCCAGTTTAGGGTAAATCTAGTGCTGGGTAGAGTAGAGCCTTTCATGTTTAGGTAAAGGACGCCTACTCTTCTTCCCCCAGGGTCTGCTTTTCTCTTGGAGAATGGAGCTGGGGACCTGTTGGCTCCCACTTTCTACTTCTGAAGGCAAAGAAAGTGAAAGGAACAAAACACCATTTTCAAAGCGTATTAGTTGTAGGAATTAAAAAACGAGCCCTCCATCCCTTTGTATCTTTATATCTATTTATAAAGCAGCATATAAAGCACTTAGGACCATAAACTCCTACCCCCCAGGACTTTTGTTTTTCCATCAGGCTGGAGGATGAGCTGGGGTGGTGCATTCAAAGGAAAACTGGTTTGGATAGCAGTCATTTAAGCATATGAGAAAATAACTTGAATCACTGAGAGGTCCAAAGCCTAAGAGATAGTATCTGGGTAGGCTTTTAGTTTCCTTCATGGAGTGTAGCTTTCTCATGCTGGTCAGCCTGCAAGTGAAAGAGAGTTGTCAAAGTTGATATATCATCATAGACCGTCAGTGCTGGAAGGAATGGTAGTGGCATGTAGTCTGGGGACGGCCAATACTTTCTGTGGCTGTACCACTGCAGACATCATTAATCTGTTGTGGCACATTTCTCTTCTACACAATTGTTTACCTGGTCACTATCAGTTGTCCTCCTTTGGTCATTCTTAACTCCTTTGTTTTACAGATGTAAAAATCCAGGCCCAGACAGGTATAGCAAACTTGCTAAGGTAACGTAGTGAGTCAGAGACAAAGTCAGGACTAAAACTCAGATCTTCTGACTCCTAGTCTAGTGTTCTTTGTATACAGACACATGGCCTGTGTCCTTGGTACTATTGGTAAAACAATCACCTGTTTGGGAATGACTGGCTATGCTTGCAGGGTGGATCGGATCAGTCCAACACTCTAAGTCTAGGGTTGTTCCTAGATCAGAAGCTGGGACTGAGAAGTATTTAGGGGTATTGGAGAAAGAGTTTCATAGGCAAAGCTAGACCCAGCTTTGAATTTCATATCTAAGTTTAACTGGTGAGGGAATGCAAGTAACAGGCAAATAATCTCGGCCTCAATTTCATATTACCCTGAGTAGCTAGTAGTGGGCTGTTCATGACTAATGGGGGCATAGCCTCACCCCAAAGCTAGGCTGGTTTACACATTGAAGTCCTATTATTAAGGATTGGGAGTGGGCATCTCTTTCATCTGAGCAAAACCAGATTCTGCTCCCCCTGAATATTCTTCAGTAAGGCTCTATTGGCTTTGCAAATAACCCATGGCCCCTTGGCCAGATAAACAAAATAACAAAGAAAACAAATTCTCTTTATTAAGCTCCAATTTTTTAGCTTCTGGGTTGGAGGTGGGGGTTATTGGTTGGTATTACATTATGCTAGGGTTAGGGTTAGGGTTACTATTTGGTGAAATCCTTCACCAGATGATGAGTTTGAGTCTAGTTTGAAATAAAAGGAAAGCAGGAGATAGAGTGTGTTATGTCAAGTATCTGAGATGACCAACTTTATTAATTTGAAGTATGTCTCTATGTGTTTTTCCCTTCCCAATGCCTCTTGGTCTTTTACCATTCCTAAACTCCTTTTCTCCATGTGCAGCATAGTTCAGATGGAGGAAGGAATAATAAGGAAGTAATTCTTACCTTCAAAGAAAACTAACTTGACAGTCAAGAGAAAATTGATGGCAACACTCTTGGCAAATAGCATTCGCAGTCCTAGTACTGTGAGGGACATCATGTTCACCTTCCCGGGATGCACTGTGGTGGAACAAGAGTGAAGATTGTGGCTTTGCAAGAGACTAAATTCCCTTCCAAGATTTGGGCTCACGACCCGACACCCAAATCACCATTATCCCTTTTGATCTGCAAGCCTAGCTTGGTGCCAGACAGCCCTCAGTGACCCGAGGCTGCTGCTCACACCCAGCCTGACAAGATTTGAAAACCCATGTTTGCAGCCCAAGCTTAGTTGGAAGAGTCAGAGGGAACCAACTGGGCTCAGGTATAGTTTTTGTTTTCTTTTGAAATCTGGTGATTTTTGGCTTCATCGGACATTTACAGAGTTTGCTTTAACCTTCACTTGGGAAGTTGATCCTTTGATTTCAACCTACCTTTGGGGTCATGGCAGCTCTTTGAAGTCTGCTGTATGTCTTCAGGTTCCATTTGTTTTAGATCATCTGGAACAAACATCAGTGGTCAGGCTTACCTTGGCAACCAAGAGGCTCAAAGGATTTCAAGTTTTAAAACCAGAGAAGACTTTAAGTAAGTAAACTTTAAGTAAGTGTAATTGGTTAAGGTCATACAGCTATTTATGTAGCCAACATATCTACCATCCTGGTTTTTTTTATTATACCATGAGGCTAACATCCAGGCTGCCTCTTATTTGTAGGAAGAACTAGGTTTCTTAATCCATGAGAGGCTGCCCTTTGTTTTGGCCTTCACACTAGATTGTACTACACATGGATTTCAACCCCAGAGCCTAGTAATAAGATAGCTATTCGTCTAAAAGAGACAGTTGTTGGTGAAGAGGAGAGATGGGGATGAAATCAGATGAACTCTATTTTAAATTACAGCTCAGAAATGCAGAGTTCAATTCCCAGTCAATGATGGGCTATAGTTGAGCTTAAGTCTTGTTTCTAGCATGATGTCATATTGAGAGCCATCTCTCACGAGTTTACATCTACAACTTCCCTTTTTCCTAAGTTTTCTTCCTCACAATCCCAGCCTCTTGAGGCCAGATATGACTTACCTGAAGAAGTTGTGTTCGGTTCAAAGTCAGTGGAGTACAAGATTTTATTGTTGTGTTGAACTGAACATGTCACTGAATTAGAATCTTCGTATTGACCAAGCTTGACAGCACTGTACTTCCCACTGGGAGAGACTACGATAGCGGGGTCAAATTCTACTATTCTCTTGGACGACTGGAGGCTTATAGCTACATTCTTGGGGTAGAAATCTTTCACCAGACAAGCAACACTCGTCCCATTTTTCATGATGAAAACGGATGGTTCGGTAAGAGGCTGACTTTCTGCAAATATAAGCAATTTATTTTTTGAGATGGTTATTCACAATATGTTGTATTAAACAATGGTGTTTATCTCAATTCCCCTGGGGCCAAACACTATAACCCAGTCATTTCTGCTTCCTGTTAGTGACCTAGGCTTGTTAGTGCCTCTATGAATGGTTGGCCAAAGGTAGCAGGAATTAAAGGCAATCAGCTTGACTTTGAGTTAGAAACTGCTAAGAGATATGGCCGGGAGCAGAGATGGAAAATAACAACTACAAAAAAGTTTCTAGATCATCTGGATTTCCATGATCTATGCTTTATTAATTAATCATCGGGACAATTGAAGTCAGGCTGAACACCTGTCTGCACTGGTTAGTTTATTCTAAATAGATGGGCCCTTGGAGGGAGATCAGGGCAGGTGCTCATGCTCTGCATTATGCCAGTGAAAGAATTTAAGATCTGAGAAGGACTATATAACTGGTTCAGATGCTCTGAAGATGGTAGTGTTGGGGTCACTTCAGGGTGTCACCTCCATTTTATGGACTGGAAGGGACCCCCTGAAGTTAAGTGATACATCTCTCTGCCTTTAGGTGAATACTTATTCTTTTGTAAGAGTCTACGCTACAGTTTCCGCTGCATCTTTAATCAGAGAATAACTATCATTCTCAGGGAGTCCTTATAGACATAAAACCAGTTTAAGTTTATTTTTCTTGTTTTATTCTAAGTGGAGCTGTGGAACGTTCATTCTAATAATTGGGTCTTTTCCTAGCCTTCTCTCCTTTCATGACTTACCTTGGACTATCATCTATCTGCTACTCCTATACACATCTTTCCCCCGCCCTTAAAATCGAAAGCCTTTCAGGGAGGTAATAATGGTTCTCTCTCATTATGACTTATTGAAGTTTTTGAGTTGTGATAGATTTTGTGTCTGTGAAAACTTGGACTTTTAGGCTACCTTCAAATAACTGCTAAATAAAGAGCCCTTCAAAGGTCTGAAATCAGGAAAGACAACCAAACTGTGAATGGTAATCTGGATATACTTCCAATCATAGGCTTAATGGCTGATTTTCAATATTACTAGCTAGTGTGAATATGGCTATTAATATTCAAAACTTAGATGAATTTAGCTTCTTGGTATCATATTACAAATATGTTGAATTTCAGTGTACTTTTATTTACTACAGTCTACAGTCTACGTAAGGTATTGCTAAACAAAAGGGCATAGTAATGAATAGGAAAATGGAGTTATTTTTCTAATGCTCTATCCTGAATCTGGATTTGGACTTCATCTGTGAAGCTTTAACCAAATCAATCAGTTATATCTGGTCGAGATGGAGCGATTGCTCATCAGGAAATTCTTGCTGATCACCACTTTGTAAATTGACTATGGCCAATCAGAGTTTTTCCAGAGATCAGCTGTTCAGAGAAGCCCCTCATCACTACCATTACAATTCTCCATTTTTTCCTCTTCTGGGAAGCTCATATAAAAGACTGAGTTCTGTTCTAGTCACTCAGGGCAGAAAACTCCTAGAAATCTGGTTCCTTACATTTTTGGCTTTAGCTCTAGACTGAGGGATTTGACTTTCTCAAAAAGTTCTTCTGGAACCTACTTTCAGCCTATATGAGAAAACCATTGTTTTGTTTCCTGGCATACCTGAAGCCACTGATAACAGACACTGATAACCCGAGCAGTAACGGTTTAGAAACCACATGTTCTGTTTGCTCACTTCCCTTCAGAACTGTGACATTTCTTGCTCACTATAATGACTTTAGTTTGAAATATATTTTGGTTGACTTTCAAGAGAGTTATACATTATAGAGAAAGAAACTAGTCCATTAAAAAAGAAAAAATGAAACAACCCTATCTCCTTGGTTTCTTAAGAGTATGTTCCAGTCCTAGTCTGATTTAGTGGTTTGCTTGGGATTTAAAATATAAATTCAAAGGCAGTTGTCAACGATCACTTTGGGCTGGAGAGGCCTGGTTTGAATAATTTGAACAATGTAATATAGCTGACAACACAGATGCCTGAAGAAGGTCATGCACTTATGATATTGAGCTCTGAATGTGTTAGTCAGTATTTCAGATAGAGCATAGTGCCCTGACTTGGTAATATAGTTTTCTCAGACTCTTTTCCCCAATGTCTATATGTTCAAAACAATAGTTTGAAAGAAAAATATTTTATTTAATCTATTCTTTGGTATTATGGTTACCAAAGAAAAGTCTAGAGACCGAATTGAGCTTTTTTTAAAAAATGGAATGCATGCAATATAGTTGCCATATGTAACCTAGTCTATTTAAATTGGACCTAAACCAAAATTTGAAATTGTAAAACATTTACATTATCATAGTCCAAAATTTAAATTAAAGATTTAATTAATTATTTATCTTTTGAGAATTTCTAGCCTTTCTTCTTGGTCCGCAAATGTAATTACATTTTAACATGTGTTTCAAAGTGTGGTTTATTTGGATAATTGTTATTTTATTTTCAGATTTATCTTTTAGTGAATACCAAGCCATGCTAAGGTTATGTGCTGGTAAAAAATACGAAAGGAAGTGTATACATTTCCTGAACAGTCTTTCTGAATTTATAAACTTGGAAATCATCTAGGGTTTAGATTCTCTTAGAGTCCTGCTGGTTCCCTAGGAACTGCAATATCTATAACAAATGTCACTCATAATTTCAAGGCTATTTGCCAATATGGAATTTAACTTGAACGCTAAGATATAAGTTGGCTCTACCTTATTACGCTGACCAGGTTAACCACCTCTTTTCTAAATCTTCCAAGCTGCAGGACATTAGTTTTCAGGATGCAGCTTAGTCAGCTTAGCCAAAGGATATCCAAGGATAAAGCAACTTCCTGGAGAATTTGGGCTAAGTGTCTCTGCCACCGCTCCACCTTACCTGTATGCTTCAACTATTAGTATAATTCTTCTAGATTTTTTGTGCTTTCTAGGCTGCTCTGAAGATTTCAGAAGTAAGCAGGAGACATAGTTTTAATATATGTTTTTTAAAAATTAAATTAACTACAAAGCTACTTCAGTGGCTCAGCCTAGTGTCTCCACTCTGGCTCACTCCACATCTCCTGGTTATACTTTCTCAAGTAATGTAAACTGAGTGGCAGCTGCAGTCCCAAGAGTCAGTTTATCCCTAGAAATATAGGGGGAAAAATCAACTCACGGGGCTCCACGAAGAGTTCGGTTCCAGCTCCAAAAATCATCTGCCGGGTGTCCCAGGAGCACATTGTGACACTGTTTCACAAGTAACCAGCCTTGGGCTGGCCCTGGAGCCTGGGCTAGAACATCTGTGCCCTGCCTCCCCAGCCTGAGTTCCAGCCAAAGACCCCACGGAGAACTACAAAGCTTCCCTTGATGAGCTCAGGGTACTGAGTGCACAGAGTCTCAGTTCTCTTTGAAGATATTAATAGTTTAGCTGCTGAATTAGGATATGAACATGAAATCCCTAGCCGAGAAGCACTTGGACGGGGACAAGGCTGAGATAGAGCCAGAGAAGAGGGTGACAGGTGACCAATAGCTGCTTTCAAGATAGAAAATTTAACTTCCAGTTTATTGGGAATCATCTCTAAGAAGAACACAATAGCCTGGGAGTAAGGATGGGGCAATGAATATTGACATGTGTTATAATGAATGTTAGAATGAAGAGTGTTTAGACATAGGTCTTGTTCTTATGCTCTGGTTCCCTTCTCTTGGGTCACAAATACTGCCGTTTGATTAGAAGCTTAATTTCTCCCCCATCACTCAGACTGAGTCTCACAATATAACAAATCTGCTTTTTAATTCCCTGAGCCCAGTGAAAGGCTTTCTAAAGACCTGATGGCTGAATAAGAAATTGGCAGCAGCCAGGTGAGCCCAGTGGTGCTGTGTGTCATGAACGCAGGTCAGAAGAGCCAGCACTTGCTTTGGATTGCTTATTTTTGTTTTATAATTTCTCCTGACTCTGGATCCAGATACAAGCTTCAGAAGCATATAGTAATCATGTGAAAATGAACTTAAGGGCCTTATGGATTTCTGCCTCTCATCACCAAAAATCAAGTGTCTAGGGCTAGAGCCAAAGGGAATGATAGTTGAATAGGGCCATTATTTGCTGTCAAAACTTTAAGGATTGGGGGCTTGGTTTGAAATTCTCTCTCCCCCTATGTAAGCTTCACACCATCGTATCATACTCAATCACTGTAGAAAGAGAAAACCAGAGAAGTAAATGGAGCATTATTGGAGAGCATAGTCAGCATCCCGGCAGAGGGGCTAAGCATCAGTTTCATTTCTTTCCTCTTCCCTAAGACTCCCAAAGGCACAGCCTCAGAGATTTGATTCCAGCACTGCAGATAATTCTGAGTTTAAGTGGAAATGATTTAAAGGGAAAATGAAACATAATACTTTTTGCTCAGATGCAATTTGCCCAACATCAATCAGACTGCAATCAGCTGCAGCGTAATTCTGTTTCTGTCCTTCTTTTCATTACTCTAGTCACTCTCCCCTCAAAGATAAAAACCCAAAACCCAAAACCAAAAACTCTCCAAATTCCACTATTTCCCTGGAAGCAACAGGCGATCAAGGACCCCCTGTAAGTTTATCTTATTCTCTGAAAGGCATAGACCCTGTTGACACTACCAGTTGTTTTCAGAACTGTCGGCCTCGCCACATTTCATGTACCTTTCCTCACTTTTTAGCTTCTTTTGAAATGAAAAAAGCCTCAAATCTAACCATGTAAGGTATAATGCCTGCCCCACTGGACTTGGCGTTTTGGAAAGCTTTTGAAAGACTCTTGTTTTCTGGACTGGTCCTACTTACTGACTGTTGGCAGCTACACAAATTACCTGAGTATAGCTTTTGAATTTCTAAGCACTAGAACAAACTACTAGAGGACAATGTCTCTGGGAGGGCACCTTTGCTTCTCCACTGTTTTGAGGTTGATGGCTGTGCTTCTATACTGGATATAGGCTCCTGAACCCTGTACAGAGTCCTCAGATTCAGGGCTGGCAGGGGAGGTGAGCACATAACTGCTCTCAGCAGACCCAGACCAGGATGGGACCTGGTGGATCATTTAGTCTGAGGCAGGCATGTTGATTTATTGCAAGTTCTCAGTAAAAAGAGACAAGGGCAAGATTGGCTTTTGTTGTTTGAAGGAGAGGAGACTCTCTTGATCTAACTCCTTCTTTAATAATATTTTTCTAACCCTCCCTGTCTGTATGCCATGGCCATGACTCTTTTCCTTCATAAATAGTGGAGAGGCTCCCCTCATCTAGGCCTTGCCATTTCCCTGGTCCCAGTCCCTGACTGGGGGGGCCAGACTAAGGGCTTTAGTTAGGCAGTAGAAGACATCAATACTAATCTTCAGAACAGAGTTTCCAAGCATATATAGAATATTTTCTTAAGAGAAACATAATGAATTTATTCTCAAATTTTACCCAAACTCTTTACAACAACAAACTCCAATGAATTTTCAGTTTAGAACCTCCAGACTTCCCAAGATGTTCCATTCATTCAGGACTATGCCGCAGCAGCTCCAAGGGAATATACAGAGAGAAGTAAGCAGAACTTACTTGCTTCCACGATGAGCTGAGTTCCCCTTCCGAAGATGAGGGGTTCTCTAAAAGCACTACCTCAGGCATCATTATAAAAACCTTTGCTACCAGTTTGCCCCTAGTCTAGTCCATCTGTTTGGAAGGAGGTGGATAGAGCAGAACAAGTTTAGCTAGAGACTTAGAATTTTGCAAGAGTTTCTGAGATCTAAGCATTACATTTTGGCAGCTTGTTTGATGTGTGTTGTCTTCTGAATGTTAACTTTTAGGAAAGTCCTAAGTTTTCTGCTATTTCTCCTCCACATGTCATCTCTTACCTCTAGCTCTTGCTTCAGGATCACATTTTCATAGGGAGAAAGGAATTATTTTGGTTTTGCTAAAAATTGCCAAATGGCTATTGTCAGCAGACACATAATTTTAAGGCTTAAGTCAATCACAAAGGACAATGCCTCAGTTAGAGGTAGAAGGACATGATGGTTGGAGCAAAAGCCATTGATGCAAAACACTTGAGTTTATCCAAAGGATCGTAACAATTATAGATGACTACCATTTGTACAAGTACTTTACTACTTATGCACAGCTTGTATTCATACTATCTCAACAAACATTATTGTAACAAACTCCATGAGGTCATATTATTAGATCCTACAGATGAAGTCATTGAAGCTAAGAGTATTTAAGACAGTGAGTGGATGAGCTGAGTCCCATCCTCTGGTCTCCGGAGTTCCATCCATTGAACCAGAGTAATAGATGATAGAACTGAAAGGAGCCTCAGTGATCACTTGTCAAAACCTCTGTGGTCATGCAAGGGCTAATTAATAGATGCATAGGGAGAGTTTTGGCTGCTTTTCCAGTGGCTCTTTAATTAAATCGTAAAATTCCTACTGAGTGATAAGACATTTATACCATTGGACTTCCTTGGTTTTCCTACTTGATCGTCCCTGAGATTTGGTATGGACGGTACTTAGGATCATAGGGTGCTAAAGCTGGAAGACACCTTGGAAATCATTTGGTCTAGATAGAATTCAGTGAAGTTAAGTCTCAGAGCTTGTCAGCCAAAGAGGATTGGAACTTGGTCTTTGAATTCTTGGTCTAACATATGTGTCATTACATCTCACATTTACTAGATATGCTATATAGTACAGGTCTGGTCATGGCCTAGATCTGTAAATGGCAAAGGCACGGGTACTAAGTAAGCTGGTTCTCTAAAGATAGTTACGTAGAAAGAAGACAACAAAGACTCTCCTGGAAGGATAGTGGACCAAGAAGATTAACTGCAGCAGCACACATCCCATCCTGGATTTTATCAGAAACCCAGTCCCTGTCCCTCAAACAATTCCTTGCTAAATTACAAGCTGGAAGGATTTTTTTTAACAACTGAAAAGTGTTTCCCAAGCTTGGAAAATACTTAACAAAGATAATTGCCAAACATAGTGGTCATAATAAAGAAAAACAAGTTACTTACGTGGTTCTACCTCCAGGTAGGTTCCTTCGCCAAAGAGCAGATTAGAATCCACAGCTGATAAACCCAATCTAAAAACTGCCTTGCTTCCTCTTTATGGCAACCCTGGCTCTAGTTGCCAAGTCATGTGACAGAAGTTGGATAGAGTTTTCTGTCTCATCTGGCCTAATGTCTTTCCTCCTAAGTCTTTAAGATGAAACAAGGGGCCATTATTGTGTCAAATAGAAATCTAAGCTTTTGCTACGTTACAATCTGAATTTGTGCTCTGAATGAGAGAGACTGGGAAGGAGTTTCTTAGTTCGATCAGGAGAAGAGAAGAGTGGTACGTTGGTCGTAGAATAGTGGTTCTCAGCCTTTGGGCTGCACTTAGATGGGACAAGGATCTAGTGAGTTATGACCCCCATTCATTCCAACTTTTTCGGGGAATTCCAGTTCATATGCAACCAGAGCTTTGCATCATTGCCAAGCATTGTGCAGCAGCCAGATTTCTTAGTATAAAATAGAATTAGAGTCTTCGGTACATTTTAATAACATATTCATGAATATCACATTTTAGCAAGCTTTAACAACATACTCACACCTAAAAGTGACAGTTAAATTAACCTGTCATATATAAAAATCAGAGTTTTTGAGATTGCCTGTACATCACTCATAAAAACCAGGGAAGGAATATGCATTTTAGGATCAGTTTACAGCCCATAAAGGACTGCAGATCATACTTTGAGAATCACTAAAATAGAGAGTGGTTCTCAGTTCTGGTGAAGAAGAAAGATGTCAGAAAACCTGATACCTAATTTGACTTTGTCTTTTACTAAGTGTGTAATTTGGACAAGTTCCTTAAGTTCACCTCATTATAAAATGAGGGTGTTATCTTCTGTATTGGGAGGTTGTTAGATTAAATAAAAGGGTGTTTATAAAGCATTCTCTAAACTAGAAAGCCTAAATGTAATTATTAGAATGTTTATTCATATTAGACTCAGTGAAAATAAGTTTTACTTGAAGGATATAATTTCACTAATCGCAGAGCTCCCCAGGGGCAGAATTGTAGGGCAAGGCTGTTGAGGGAGAACAGAATCCCGTGCCTTCAGTGTTTAAGATGAGAGTGCCCACTTCTTAGGGCTGTGGTTGAAGACTGGGATCCAGGTTTCTGTCTCCCTTTGTCTTTTCTCTAGGTCAGATGTGATCTCTATTTCAACCTCTAATCTTCCCTCTTAAACACAAAAACTGAAGTCCTTACAGTAGCTTACAAATCACCCCCTCCTC